AAAAAGATTGGTTAAATGCCACACTACGCACCTCGATCGCTTTTCACAACGACATATGCTCTTAATCCACTTGGAGTCATAAAAAATGAATTATAACAAATATTTGCTTATATGTAGATGGATGATCGTATGGTAAACGAAAGAGACTGTCCGGAATGCGGTCAAGAAGAACATACATATCACTCTAAATGCTAATTTGATAAAGATGTTTCAAGTATTTTGTTAATTAATCGCTTTGTTAAAGTTAAACCCTAGGTCTGGGTTGACAAGAAGGGAGTCGCATGGCGCATGTGGTGCCTTCAAAACTATTGAGGGAGCAGATTTTTATAGGAATATGAATTTTCAAGAGGGAAATCAAGTAACAAGAGAAAACTAAACTACAATTTATATAAATTTACTTTCATTAGCACAATTTTTAAAAAGGGAGCAATATATTTTCATGGTATGGGGTTATGCGCCATCGTCCTTCGAGGGGATGGGTACACTTAGGATGATTTTTTACTGTGTCTTATTAGAGTACTAATTTTAAACGGTTTTCTATTAATTTTATGGTAGAATTACATTGAAAATCAAAGAAAATCTTTTTCAGTTCTATAGACTTGACAGTTTAATGCACTTATCCACATAAGAATGCAATTCAGGTTAGAAAATTACTATTTGATTCAAAACTCAGATAAGATTGTAGAATCTTCGATTTCCATAAAATAACAGGAGTACTGAAAGATTTCTTTCGACATAAAATAGTCAGAAATACCTGAACTTAACACGTAACAACGATCTACGGAATGGTCATCCAAACTCAAAAACAAAATCTGGCCTATATATATATATATATATATATATATATATATATATATATATATATATATATATATATATATATATATATATATAAATATAGCTTTTTTAATGAAAAAGATAAAACTTACCCTCATACCTCATAAACACATTTTCTGGTAATATAATATATGAGTGTTTGAAAATTATTTACTAATATAACTAACTCGTCCCATCTCACCTAATCAGTCATCCAAGATAAGGCTGCCAATGATTAAGAATAAACGGTTTTAATCGTAGATTTTATCTGGATTTAATTTTAGAAAAATTATCCGCTCCATATTACTCATAGGTGATAAATTTGATTTCCCATCAAGAGGAAGATGGGAAGATCGATTTAGCACAAGGGTATCGCTTTGTGCATTTAATTTACATACCGTTTCAGCGAGCAGTAAATCAGCTGCAATGGCGAAATCCCTGCCAACAGCGTAATTATAAAGGCAGTTGCAACTGTGTTATGTCCCCGGTGTCAGATGATTCGAAACGGACCATTTAATCGGAGCTATATGTCTTTCGAGCATTCGGTACGGTACTACCTTACTGGCAAAGGCCAAGTTCGAGGGAAGGTATGGATTTTATAAATATTACAACGAACGGTTTAGCTAAATTTTATATTATATACAACTAGACAAATATGCGTAAATTATCTTTCATTTAATTAAATTTCTCATAATTTTTATGCCTTACAATGAAAAAATATAGAATATATTAAATTGCGAGGTACTTATTTCCAAAGTGAGCACTAATAAATTTTTTTGGAAATCGAGATAAGTATCGATTTCTACGCTCACTGTATCCAATGTTGCAATTATTATGTAACTTTTAAAAAAGCTAATCTAAATATTCAAAATGTGATGTGAAAATAAGTTTATTTCCGAAACCGGCCTTCCTTTTTAAGGGATGTAATGGTACTTTATAAATATTTTTTAAAAAATAATTCTTCAAAACTTGTTTTGCACCATTATTGTAAACAACAAGTTAAATTTTAATAACTTTTTCGAATCATAAATTATTTTGTTATCTCCAAACCGCGATCAATCTGTTTAGTATCAAACCACTCTTGAAGTTTAGTTCGTTCTCTATTTAATTTAGTTTCAGTGTTTTTTAATAATTATTAATATAATCAATGATTTACGGAAATGTTTGCTACAGGATTCATCAATTTGTTTTTTGATGATACCATTATAATAGAAAATATGGTTGTGTTTCCAGAAAGTTTGTCAATGAGTTTATACAAACCATAAGAGTTTATACTCAAATACAAACCATAAAAAAACTTGGACAAGGTATCATTAAATAAATAATAAAATGAAATTCAACTTTTGTTTTTAAACTATTGATTATCAGAAGGAATTCCAAGATAAATACCAGGTTTTAGAGAAAACCCTTTAGCAAATAACAAATTAATAGGAGTAATGATACTTCAACTGATCTGCAAACCTGGATACGTTTAAGCAAAAAAGATGTGCAGGAAACGTCCCCACTTTTCAATTTTCCCTAGTATGGTACAGCGATTACCAGTGAAGCCGACATCAATTGAACATTCTGGTTTTATAAAAGCGTGTCCTTTTAAGGATTGCAAGGAGTGGCATCTCGGCGACTAGGAATCAGCATTCCATCCTTGAAAGAAATGCGATTTCCTCGAAAAGTCCAACTGAGCGGAATATGCGAAATTTTCCAAACGTCAGCCAGTTCCGGAACCAACTTTCAAGCCATCTGTTGCGCCGGAGGGTATCGCCAAGCCAGTAGTTAAGCCAATTAGTCCCAAATGTGAAATTTCACCCGACGCATCGTACATGCCGTGAGTATATAATGTGTATATGTATATGTCTAATGTGTATATGGATTCACGCACTTGCACACATTATTTATCTATTGGATAAGATATAACGAGATAATGCTTATAATAAGCATAAAAGTGGGCAGTCCCCCTCGGAATACCCGGGAGAAGAGGTAGCATTATAACCGTGAAGCAGTAACTACCGGCGTTACAGCCTTTGATCTACAGGATCCTCTTCGAGTACCGCCTTATATATATATACCACCGATTTAGCTGAGCATTACATTAAAAAATAGGCCAATTATGCACCTATGCAGGACTATTGTCATCCACGATCATAATATTATTAACTTCTTGGCAAGGGGTCAATTCGAATTCCGATTAAGTTGAATCATTTCTGCGCGCTCAGCATATTCCACGCCTCACTGGCGTCTCTCGAAGTTGTCCTGCGTATCAATTTACCGTACGCATTCAATGTAAACTAATAATTTTGAAGAGAAAAAAAGTAGCGGATAATGTTCAAGTACTTACTTACACCACATATGTCGTTGTGATCTCAGAGAATTTTAATTATGGGTTCGAAACTCACGAATGTCCACGAAAACTATCAAAATCGAATAACATCATCATCTAACCCATTCACAGCAGGATAAATTTTAACAACTTTCTATTATTTCATTTAAATATGTTTTCCAAAATCATAGAAAAAATTCAATGATTCTTTATATATAATAACCAGGTGAGACACCGTAAAACCGCATTAAAAAAAATGTATCTATTCATAAGACCAATAATACATACGTTTGGGTATATCGTCGGTTCATTGCAAAAAGTTATTACGTGACATTTCACATAACTTTAAATTATTATGAACTTTGAAGAATTTCCCCTTCAAGAAATTGGAAAATTGTGCGCTTGTTGTATATATATATATATATATATATATATATATGCCATTTATATGTATTTTCAGGGTTTTTGTATCGATAAATGAAGCACAAATTCATACAGACCTCCTTGAAAGTTGACCTGTATCAAAAAATGCACTTTTTGCAATAAACTGACGTTACAGAACATATTAATTTATTTTATTACTTCAAAATGATTACGAGGAAAATAATTTGGTTATTTTATTAAATGTTTAACCGGGACTCTTGTTACAATAATTTTAAAATTATTATTCCACGTTGAATTATTGAAAATGTATGTGGATGGGCAGAAATTTTTTTTTATTTATTTTTGTATTTATTCATGTCTATGTAAGGAATGAATTCGAGCATTATTACTTAAAGTTGGCAGATTTTAATGAACACTAATATAATAGTTTTTAAGAATATGTATGTAATAAATTATTGCATTTCAGAACTAGTGGACTACATTTAAAAGACTGCGACCTGAATATTTCTTTGCATTTAAAGTCATTGTATATTTAAAAAAAAAAATAAAGTTACGAATTTATTCACAACAGAAATATCAGAATTAAGAAAATTTAGGTAAAAACTAAAATAAGAAAGGTTTGATAAAATAAATAAATTCATAAACAAACTCGATCAATGCAGATAAAGACCCTTGAAATCAGTTCGTTGCAGGAGCACACAGGGGGGCTGCAAATTGCACAATTCACCCCAACGGTATGTTACTAATCTAGCGAGCGCCTTCCATCGAGGGTGACTCATTCCGTCCGGAAAAGCTTTACTCAAACTGCTCTAATTTAAAGCAAACATTTTTATATATTTTCAGCAAATTAATCCTTATCTGACTTTGGTAAATAGGTGTAAACGTAGACCATACACAATGGAATTTTATATACATATTTGTGTGCGTTTACTAATAATTTGTTTAAATAGAGTAATGATTAGTTTAAAATAATTACTGAAAAATAAATTCCGAAAGGAACCAGAAGTTACTACCTCTTATATTTAAGATACATGAAATGTTTAACATAAGATAAAAGTAAAAAAAAAAAAAAAATGATAAAATAATACTTCAATTGTAATCACTCAGACAAGACTAAAATTAGACGGGCATCAATTGAACCGAACACGGGTCGAAAATCAATGATAATGAACAACGGATTACGATTGTTGAAAATTTCCATTTATCTATATTTTTTAATGTAGGTACCATAGGAACTCCACCGATGTATAGATGACCGTCTTACATAATTTCTGAAGCAATATACTACATTATTATAAGAAGTAATCTATAACTAGTCAAAAACCAAAATCTCTTCAAACTGACTTTCTTTAGACTTGTTAAAGTGTCAAAGTTTAACCTTAAGATAAATTTAAGCTAGGCAGTTTTAATGCAATGACATAAATTTTGCCCTGACATGGGAGACCTCAATTCATACATAGCTGACCAGAATACAACCAGATTGAGGATGAGCAACAATAGAACCCGGGTATTTCTGGAGCAGTGGGTTCCCACTATTTACGCCGGGCATAAACAGGGGATGAAGAGGCAACCAAACCCCGGTATTGTTTGGTTAGCTCCTTTGTCATGTAAACTTCCTCTTGTTCCTATGGTCAGATACCCATTGTTCAAGATCCGGACCGGAATTCGATTGCTCTCAAACGAAAAATGCCTATATTCGAAGATATTTCCTTAAAAGAACTCATATTGAATTTTGATTTTAGGAGTATAGTACCAACTGTCTAGGTCATAGGTGGGGAACCACGACCTAGGAGAGCGTATGTGGTCTCGTGGCGTACGTTTCCGCGCAATATTTATTAATTTAGTGCTAAAATTATTTAATATGTATTATTTAAGTAACGATAATTTGGAAATTAATAGAATTAAGGGAGAGGAGGGTGGAGAGATAGGAAAGAGTGTTATAATTTCTTCCTGGAAATATTAGGGATAACCAATACTTATATATTTAAGTAATCGGTATGATTTGAGAGAGCAATAATTCAACATCCTAACCTATCGTAGTAACATTGAATTACGAGAAAATTCTGAAGACTAATGAATGCTTTAGTAGTAAACGACATATAAAGTACAAAAAATTATATATTTTTTTTATTTCAAAACAAATACGTATTTAACAGTTTTAAAATAAAAGAAACGGATCTGTATAGCTTTTTCTTGACAAAATTTACTTTGGCTAAATTACGAGCGTCTTTTGGTTATTGTAATTTCACTTAATCAGTAATATATTTTTATTATTTCATACAAGGAAAAACAAAACAAATTGATATATATAAAACCCTTGGAAATTGGATATTTTTGGGTCTAGTTTTTCCAAAGAAATTTACATTCAAATCGGTACCCCACTCGAGTAACCCTCTTTTATTAGTAAATTCGGGAGCTCCGGAGTCATCTTGTGTCTTGATTTTTTTTAAATTCTTAAATAGCTAGAAGTAGAATAATTCTTTGAGTATGGATTACGTTTTTGATTACATGATAGTCCGTAGCACTGACCCCTTTTTATCAAATTATTAACATCCACCTGAAACTTCGCAAATAGCTCCATCTCATCATAACTTACAAATATTTTATTTAAGAAAATTCTCGAAGGTCGACAAATTTTGTCTGTTTAATTAGGTACTAAAAACTCGTAAATACCAATTTGCTTTTCACCTGGGTCGTAAGATAACTTGAGCCTAAATTCGAGAAAAAAGGTGATCTTCAAAAGTATTGAGCCGTTTGGCGTCACCTACACCCCCAGATTGTCAAAATAACGAGGTTGTACAGACCAAACGCCCCAATATTTTTGATGGCCACCGTTTTTTATCGTGATCAAATTATCTTACGATTCAAGTGGAAAGCATGGGTATTTACGAATTTTTAGTACCTAATTAAATAGACAAAGTTTACCGACCTTCAGAGTGAATAAGCCCTAATTCCGAAAATTTTCGTAAATAAAATATTTGTTGATTACGATGAGATGAAGCTATTTGCGAAGTTTCATCCGAATGTTAATAATTTGATATAAAGAGTACCACGGACTATAACTTTATCTAGAGTATCCATAAATTTATATCATATCAACTCAAATATAAATCTCGATTATGAAGAAAACTAATAAAATCATTGAATGACATCATTTCAATTATGAGTTTACGAAAATGGCAGGTGACCCACCGAGATCCTTAATATTGAACAGAGGCCTAAACAAACAAAAGTTCAGTTTAATAATTTAGCATTTTTAAGAAAGGAAAGTCGATAACTTTTTGGTATTTAAGATAATTTGAAAGGTTGATTATGCCGCTTTGACATGAATTTTTCGGTCAATTTCCACAAAATTGGGCTCTAATGGATGTTTTTCTTTAGTGAAAATTGACTGATTGAAGGGAGGATTGGATTATTGTAGGAATGGATTGGGTTTGTGCAGAGTGTGAACTAGACCGATAGAGAATGGAGCGGGAGAGAGTATAGGTGTGCCGACTGCCCGGCGCCCAGGTATCGACTGCTCCAGTCCCGCTCAAACAATACCTTCAGGACAAAACCCATCGTCGGGTTATAATCACCTATCTACTTCGGAGAGGTAGGGAGTGAGGGGTGTCATGGTAATATGTAGTCCGCAATGGAGGAAAAGAGCCTCAAGTTTTAAGAACTTAAATAAAAAACAAAATATATTTAATCTTATATCTACACTTACTACGAGATTACGAGCATATTTAACGTACGTTAGCAGAGATCCATTTTGGGCTTGTAGGTATGATGGTTTTTTCATATAGAAGTGATCAATTCCTATTTCGATCTTAACATGTGTACTGAATGGCGTTAATAAAAGCCATTTTAAAAAAATTAGAGATTTCAAAACTGTAACGTTATTTAGCCATGTTAGATAACACTGTAGGTTTTAGGTTCCATTAATATTCTCAAACAACAGAGAGAGAAAGAATTGGAACAGAGGTTACCAAGCAATGGTACTCGTACACTAGTGGTACACAACACAGGAACGTTCAAGAAGTACGCGATCAAACGTGTGTGGGGTCAGCATAGCTTCCTCAATTTATTCATTGATCACACAATTACTTATATTTAAAGATCTGTGATTTTGATTTCGTCTTGGAGGAAAATTGGTCTATAAGTTGTTTGAGAATAAAACCTTCAGGAGGCTACAATTTATTCCATTCGGCGCGTCATTTAACCGTATAAATTCTACCATTGACTCATCCTTCCTCGGTCCAAATACTCTACCAAAACAACACCAGAAATTCAGAATGATTTCTTTATGTATAAATATTTATGTTTAAATGAACGAAAGTTTAAAAATCAGACTGAAATGAATAATTATTGGAGCTTACAATTATTTATCGTTTGTATGCTTCTAAGGTAAATAGATAAATTTATAAATAATCCTAGAGTGATATATTTAGTCGTTTCTGTAACTCCATCCGAACATTCATTCAAAAATAATACTTTTATGAAATTCAATGATGAAGTAGTTCTTTTGCCCAATTTTGTTGCAGAGAAGCTTCGATAAAAAAGACGTTATTTTTAATAGAAACGTTACCTCATTTAGTAATCGATGCTCAATCTTCGAAACGTTTTCTCGTCAATGTTTAATAGAAGGATTGGATCTGCAATCAAATTGCATGAAAGGATTTTTTATTGAGTTTCATAAAAGTATTCCTTTTTGACGGAAAGTTCAAGTCTAGTCCGAGGGACGGCTATGCATAAACAGAATAAGAACGTGATTTCATTCAGGTTTACAGAACTGTGGCTAGATTTATTAGGATCTGTTGGGAGAGGATTTACAACCATTACCTCCCCCCCCCCTTCCTCGCCCAGCCGAGGGTTGCAGACAGGCAGGCAGGGTGGTCGGGACAGGGCTGATTAGGGCTTACCGGGAGGCGCCGCCACTCAGGAAGGGCTCCAGCGATGGTCTCATTCTCTTTCCTTCGCTGAGTGCTTCCTCATGGTGAGCTACGTATAATCGATAGGGGTTAAATATTAAATCGATCGACGAAAGTAAAGAGATTTTAGGAACAGAATAATCTAAAACTGTAAGAATTAGATGCCAAGTCCTATGACTTGTTCTATAACAAGATCAACTCAATACCAATACGGTGTTATTTTCATTCAAAAATTCCAAGACTTAATAATAATCTTTCTCGGTCTTTATTGGAGGGATAAATAAATTAATGTACATGAGCTGAAAATGTTTTCGATTCATCCAGATGTTATAATATTCTTGGATTTCAAGAATTGACTGATTAATTAATAAATATTTTTTAAAATTTCATAATAGAAAAACTGTTTTTTTTTTGGAACTTTTCCACCCAAAATCACGCACGAAATCTACAAATTTTCTAACATGTCCTATTCGACTGAATACGAGCATGGAAAAAATACAGCACAATTATTAAAGACTATATCGGTGCAGGGTACTCGGCTACCTCAAGAAAATATTCTTTTCGAAAAATATACTAAATATCCAATTTGTAAAATTAATAAACTTGCAACAATAATACAATAAAGAAGAATAAAAACTACAATCCAAAACTTTTATTACCATTTATTTGTGGTGGGTTAATTGTTCTTGTTTTTAATTTATTTAATCTTGATTATTAATTATTCAATTATTTATAAACAAAATCTCTCTCCTAACTCTCTCTCCATTCATTTTTGTCAAGTGTTTCCTTCAATTTGTTTAATATAATTGCCATACCTAGTACTGTTTTCACTAAATGTATAATCAAAAATACGAAAATACGCAAGGACGTGGAATAAGTAAAAAATAGAGATACACGACCAAACCACAGGGTTATTATGGAAGGGAAAAAATATGACTTCCCTGTACGTTCTTTATGGGTTTTATTCATAAATACCTAAGTTATAATATTTAATCTATTTATAAATATATATAATCTGTTTTATAATTAGTTACAGCATTTACGACTAATATAATCAAACGAGGGTTCATTAAATATATTTATAATGTATATTATTAATGCCCTCTAATGTGACAGAATGTATTAATTTTCAACTAATAAATAAAAAATAATATATATAGTAATTTAAGATGGATTTGGATAGATGATGTGTGTAAAAGGTTTAACTGTTCATATAGATTCTTTTAACTGATGAAATAAACACGCAAATTAGTATCATTAGCCTAAGAAATACAGGCGAATCGAATTGGAAGATGATCCCAAACGAAAATGATTAATGGTAATTTTTAGATTGGAGATGCGAAGACAGCCAAGTTCTCCCGCTTAAGAGAAAGGTCAGGTACCTTTATGTACTTCTAATATTGGAGTTCAAGGCCTCATAGATTGTAACCAACCTCATCAACCCCCTCCCCTTTCATGAATTTCAATACTCCATAGCCGACTATAATCTCTACCATTAGGTCCTATTAGATAATTAAGTTAATATCTCATCGCTCTCTCTATGCCGACAAATATATAATAATAACATGAAGTTAGTTTTATTTTTACATATGCCTCCAGTAGGTAATTCCGTCATCAAACCTCATCAGGTCAGGGGAAGAATGGAGGATGGGAGGGGGTCAAATTGATGGTAATTACCTAGACTGCTGGCGGAGGGAAGACAAGGGAAAAGTAAAGAAGGATGGAGATACAGAGACCGAGAATTGGCCGAATAAAAAGAAGGAGGAAGTCCAAGAGAGATGGAAGCGGGAGGGAAAAAAACAGTAAATAGGAGCGAGGGTCTGGCGCCACTACCTGCCCGCATACCACCAACTGGACGTCTTCAGGTAATGTCTGCCAGGTAATGCCTAGGTCACCTCCCCTTCCCATTTTATATATATGTATATATATATTTTTTTTTTAATTTACAATATAGTACATTGTAATAATAAAAATCAATTATTTATTTATTTAATCTCCTCCTCTATTACCGCATAGCAGTGAGAGGATCCAGTCGCTAGAGCTTGATCCAGAAATATCTGTCCTAAACGAGTATGGATTGATGAATAGTGAAATAAATGAAAGTATTAAAAGTGTCAGCAGGTGTTCCCTTTCCCTTAAGAAAGGTTTTATAGAGACAAAAATTAAACAATTTAAAAAAGTAATAATAATTAAGTAATTATGATTGTTTTACGGCATCCCCCATAGTAATGCCTAAGCCTATTCCCCTGATACCTAATATATATATTTATATTTTTTTTAACTAACAGTTAATTATTTTTGATATTAAAATTATTCATGCATATAAATATATTAGTCAGAGCAAATTGATTGCAATAACTATGTTACAAATATCAAAACAAAATTAGGTAAAAAAAATTAATTGGTACATCATAGTTTTGAACTGAATAAATCTTTATATGAATACTGGCATATCACATTTTTTTTCAGTATATTATACAGTTCAATATGGCCAGTGGTATGTAAATAAAATTTGATACAAGTATAAAACGTCGTTGCAAAAAACTGAAAAAAAAATATAGCATACATTTATGTAGTCTGTAGATAATCCTTTTGAACATTTTTTTTTCTGATTCCAAAAAATAACTTTCATCATGAATTTGAACTTTTTGAAATATATTGAGACCACTCTAAGGGGTAAATTTTTCAAAAATGATTAATTATTATCAATATCTCTTCCCAAATATAAATGCGTGTTCACAGCTTAATAAAAGCTTTTCGTCTTGTCAAACCTATATACTGTATCAAAAAACTTCATATTAAACAGCTGGAGAGATGCGGTTTCTAAAATATACAAGCATACTACCAAAAAATAAAGTTTTGAAAGAGTTTTTTCATTCTATGATTATAAGTATTGTTTGCTCAAGCCAGCGAGGTATTGTATTTCCCCATATCTTATCTCTCCTCCTTCAATATCGTACGGCAACTATGTAAAGAGGTTGAGAATACAACTGCTCAATCATTATGGAAGTTCTACTTTACTCACTACAACCTATTTCCTACGAGCTCTTTATCGATATTTAAAGTCGACTATATGAATCATCGACCGGTAAGAGGAGGTCATTGACACATAGGCGCACTTAAGTGCATTGTCAACGTTTTCACTTGTCTGGAACGTGATGTACCTTAATATTAACCCGTAGTTGAGCGATAGGATGGCGTTGGGAAGCTTCCGAAAGGCAGAAAACGTTAAGAGATATGCGTATTATCTAGTTGATTTGTGAAATATACTGCCAAGAGACGATAACAACACTTCTCAGAATCTCGTGTTATTATTTTTCATTTAATTTTTTTTTTTTTTATTTCATCGTTAAATGTCAAGCGGCTCATAAACTCGGCGCCGGCGCTCGAGTTGTCTTTAATGCTCAATCAAATCTGTCACAGAGGCGTCATCTGGACTGAGAGAGGGGCGTCGACAACGCAAAATATAAAATGTACGCTAGAGGTTCTTATACAAAATTGGAATCGAGTACAAACACATTGACTTCTTCGGCGTTCGACTGCAGTTCAATTTGACGACTTATACATAACTGATCTATAAATTAAAAATATTTTTGCTTAATAAGCTTAAACTTGAATACGAATATGCTAATGTCTGTCTTCATGAAAATTAATAATTTTTAGATTGGAATATTTTTTTTATCTGTCATACGTTGTGTCAAAGATCTGAACAATATAATTTTTTGCACACATACTGTAAAATCCCACGCGTCAAGTTTTAAAAACGTTAATAAATAATAAATTATTATTATTTTTATATCATGCTTGTAAAAAAAAAAAAAAAAAAAATTATTTATGTTCCATCTGATGGTTAGTAAAATAAAATTTATTCTTTTCAAAAATTATAAAATAAAATGTAACTTTAAAATAAAAAATAACAAACTTATAAACGGGCTAAAAATTTATTTTTTGAAAGTATTTATGAATATATCTCTGTGATTAATATTGAAACATCATAACAAGAAAATATATATATTGTTATAATATATATTTAAAATATATACCTTCTCGTAAGCATAGAAGAAAATTAAAACATATACATTTCTTTAATTATAATTATTTTTAACATACAGATTTCGTTCGACTAAGAGGGCATAATAACATAAACGAAGATGATGCGGAATTATCGGGTGTATCGTTCGGGAACTTCTGATCCTTTGATCTCTGTTTTATAATTCTATTTAAGATGTTTAGAATACCAAATATCAAATTTAAATACCTGAACAGTTTTGCTATTTTAGGAACCTTTGAAAGCTCGTTATTTACATGCCTCGACCTAAATGGGGAGAACAGGTTTTTTTCTTATACAGCATTATCATAATTACAATAAATACATACTTGGGCCGAATCACGAGAGGTATAAAACCGAAGATATCAATAAATCGGACGAAATATATACTTAAATTACTTATTCGGCCCACCCACCAAGATTCAAATATTGAGGAGTAATTTTAATGAGTCAGGAATTTTTTCAGGACAGAAGCCAGGATATGTGAGAGATTTAAATATATATATATTCTTAGATATAACGTCAGACTTCATTTTTTGCTATTATCCTGTCACAAAAAGTGAAAGTTTTGTGTAAGTACAAATTTGTGGATCTGTGGTCGTAGAACTTTTTTTTTTTTTTTTATTCCTGAAATACTCTTAACGAGTCATTGTCTTCAGCGGGAACATAATCATTATCAGCGCAAGTGTGTGAGAAATGCGTATCCTATCCCGGAACGATAGAAAGTGGAATGAGGGAGCATGGGGTCAGTGCATCCACTTGGGAGGTCCGCCTTCCCTCCACTGGGTGATATAATCGCTCCATCTTATTAGACCAAGCTTCGTCCCGGAGCTCCTGGTATCTCTTTGGAATGATCCACATTGCATTCAAGTCGAGTCACTATTAGCCAAATATATTAAGCAGGATACTATATTGATGTAACAACCTCCTTAGTTGCGATGATCGGAAGTATACACTGATAATACCAGAAATCCATTCAAGATGTTCGTCAACGAGAGTTTGTTTTTGATTTTTTGCAAAAGCTTTACCATTTCAATCTTCGAAAGGGAAGGATTCCATTCAAAGGGTTCGAATTTGTTTTCCCCTTCCGTTCGAAAGCTCCCGAAGGACAGAGACAGAAACGTTTTTGCAGACGACTTACCGTTATCCGACAGAGCAAAGCGATCGGTCGCTTTGTGGAACGACAATCGACGCCCGCTTTCTACAGCAGACGTGACCTTCGCCCGATACCGGCAGACAATGGACGAATAAATAAGCGTACAATGGCTCTCGAACGACAATGAGACAATAGCTATCGGTAATTCTACAGATCGTAATTAAATAGTTCCCAGACGGCGCCTCGGCTCGGCTCCGCTCGTCCGAGGTCGGGTGGCTTCGGCGCCTGGGCGATTTCCGATTACATGACCATTAATGTGAAGTTGGAAATCTCACTTACCTAGGTCAGTGCCATCGATGAAGCAATTGTGTTACTACTTATTTATAAAATTAATTATTTACGATATTAGTCATAAATTATTCATTATTAGTTTTTTTTTTTATTATTGTTAATATTCTTATCATAATTGTCGAATACACAAAACCTGAGTATCGAAAATTGTGGAAAAAAAGAGGAAGATTTTGTAAATAATGTCCAATGTTAGTGGCACCAACCGATAAATGTTGCCATCGTATTGGATCAAACCATCAGTTTTAAATAAATTCAAACTAGATTGACTCTATAAATTAAGTTGTATGTTTCAATTACTCATTTAAAAAAAATAATATAATCTACATTTTATATTTTTAAAAAATATTGCAAATAACAATATAAAGTAGTATCATAAGCTGAATTTTATAAAGTGAAATTAACTATTTTAATATTGATATTAACAAAATAAAATTGCTTTGTAATTAAAAATTAATAATGAATGATTCAATAAATATTAAACTTTACAATGAATGAATTAAGATTAATGTATAGAATAATTCATTCAAGAAATTTTTCGTAAATGAAAAAAGCATTAAAAAAGTACGGCGGAAGGGCTATAATAAATTTTTACATACGTGTATACTGAGAAAAGACAAAAAACAAACAGAATTAGAGTGTAAGAGATTATCAAAGATACAGGGTAAATAGAGCGAGCAGAGGGCCTAAGAAAGAAAGAGATTCTCCGTTCCACTTCGCTGCCACAAGATAATTTCTTGTGATATGCTGTTATCCCCTTTTTTCCACCTCTTTTTGTTGATAGTTTTGAGTAAGTTGGGTTAAGGGTAGGAGAAAGAAATGCTTATTGAATATTGATGTTCCAGTAAGATGGAAACGCGTGACATAGCAACCAAACTAAACACGAGAGCGATAAATATAATTTAAGACGAGTACATCATAAGATTTAAACTTTCTTTCCTTTATTTATTACTGCAGTTCATTCTTTTCTGGATCTGTTCGGATTGTCCATAAGAAAGAGGGAAAGCTTGAGGGAAGAGGATTTAAAAGGGGCAGGTCTACCCAGCACGTGGGCAACGACTAATAAACGCGCGACGAGTAACAACCGCGATTCCTAATAGTTCTTTAATAGCAACTATTAGAAAAGTAGGACGTCTTTCCGCTCGTTAGCTCTCTTATATCTTATCGTTCCTACGCTCTATTCTCATCCCAGAGGCCTTTTAAATTTTGAATTTGCTACAAGAGGCATTAAAATGTAGATAGTGCATGAACTGAACGAAGTGAAACGAATCGTTACTTTGTGTGAGTCAACACAAAATACTTACGAGGAGTCGAGGAAATAATTATATAAGAAGATGTACGAATGTAAAAAAAAAAAAAAAAGACAAAGCATTCCAACATTGTACCAAAAACATTTACAGAACAATCAACTGACACATTATGTAATTCAAAAAACGAACCTCCTGAAAACGTTGCACCATTATATGTTCATGTTTCGTTAGCGATAAGAATATAATTTGCGCTGGGTCATTCCGAAACAGAACGCTGCGAAGAGGACCACAGACGTCAACCGTACTCAAACACCATTAATACAGAGCCCATGTTGACAACCGACTGACCATTCCATTCCATTGGTCAACTCCCACTGACGCTAGCGATCTTTTACTGACTCTATTTTGGCTGAGCTTCTGTTTTCTCTGGGAGGTGACGCAGCCTCGATGCAATGCCCATCGCCTGGTTGACAATAAACTGTTTTGCCTTCGCCGAAGAGGTTGGGCCAGAGCTAAAATAATAGCAGCTCAAACGGCAAACAAGGCTATTTCTGTTGGCGCGGTGTGTATCTAAGGCTAGTGCAATGGGAGTGGAGTGCACTGCAGTTGGCACCGCTCGGAGAATGTCCGATCAAGGTTAGCGCCGAGTTATATGTTTTGAGGGAGGGATTTGGCTCAGTAATTATAAAAATGTCTGTCGGTCGGGAGGTATTAGGGCTTCTAATACTTTGGGAGTAACAATAAATGTAAAAAATATAAACGTTTTTATTGGTAGAGTTAATGAGCAAGTCTCAAGTCTCTCAAATGACATCATATAACACAAATGAAAGCACAGAGAAGTCATATCTCACTTCAAAAGAATCTAATAATGATGATACTTCACTCACGAACATTGCCTAATATTTTCTTGAATGATGAAAAGTAAATCCTCCCTGTTCCAGCTTATACACACATTACTTCCTCATAGGAACTCCAGGTACGTTCGATCGAACTCGACAGTCCCTGGTGACTATAAAGACGAAGCCAGAGATATCCCCTGAGGTACTCCAGAAGAAAGCCAAGTACCTAGGAGAGGGGAACGTCGCTATGGTTACCTGTACCGTCCCTTAAGGAGGGGCCCGTAAGCCAGGTTTGGACCTCACCGGCCTTGGTGAAGCTAAAAAAGAATCAGAAAATCTGCCTTTTAGCCTCTCTCGGTTTAGTATTTCTTTCAATACGGCATTCTTGACCTCTTCGCCTCTTACCGACATGGCGTAAGATTGCTCACTTTAATTAATGTACTATTATTTTTACGCTATTCGCCCTAAATGTTGAGAAAGTATAGATAGAGAAAATATTTATTGTGTGAGCTACACGGAATTTAAAATCTTTTATAAAAATACAAAAAAAAGGAAATAAAAAAATTGATTGAACTCAATCTACAGTACCAAAGAATTAGTTTGATGCGTAGCAATGCAATAGTAGATGTACCGTCAATTTATTGCAAAAAGTGATTAAGTTACATTCCATAAAATTAAATCAATGAGTAATTTAATGAATTTCCCTTCTGTAAATCCATTGTGCACTTAATTTCTTCTATATATAATATATAAAACGATTTGTGTCAGTTTGATGCAGTTTTTTCTTGAAACGTGCTCATATTTAGCAGTGTATAGGGTGTATGCTTTATAACTTAAAGTGGAACATATTTTTATAGTTCAAATATTCAGCTCAGATCATTCACTAAAACCAATGTTTCAAAGAAAAAAAAGTCTTATTTGTAGGAGCTTCAGTCCGAAAATCCTTTCCCTCCATCCACGCCAGAGATCAGAATTATGACAAGATAAAGTTATTTTGATCGAAAACAAGATAATATTAAAGAAATATTTTTTTTTTTATCATACCGACAAAAATACACTTGAACATTATAATATATTTTTAGTATACAAGTAATCACTTAAAAATTATTTTACGATATCAAAATAGGTATTTGAATTGAAAAACACATTACATAATTTAGGTATATTAAAAAACAGACACTTAGAAGTCCAAATTCCATTGATTTTTGGTTCAATCTAGAGCTTCATGTTTTTAAAAAAAAATAATGAATTTGAATTGGCACGGATAAAATATAAAATGTTGTATATAAAACAGTTAACTAGTGGTCTGACCACAATGAGATTACGTTTTCAGATTATTTGACGTTTATAAGTCAAATTAAATTATATTGTAATTTATTGGTTTTGTTTATTAAATATACCATTTGAAATATTCATAAAGTCTTTTTTTTTATTGAGAGCCGGAAACTTGTTCAGAGGAGCCGACAAACAATGCCAAGAGCATTCCACCCGGGACTGACCCATGACGCCAGGCAACCTTCTAATCGACGAATTCTTAACACTCCACGGCCTATCTATCAATATAAATAAATATATAAAAACTTACATTTCATCGTTTCAAAATAAATTCTGTGTAACTAAATCTACGAATACTGTAATATATACGGTCGTATCATATACAATTGTATATTTACAGGATTGGTATAAATAAATTAGAGATACATATAACAACACCTTATCTATCGGTAGGTATTATAGAACAGATTTGTCAATCTATTGTCGATTACTGAACATGTATTCCGATATATTTTCATAGCCATAGTCCAACCTTTAGTAGAAGGAATTAAATACGTGCATTTATAAATAAGAGATATAGTATTTTCAGATTAGTAAAAATAAAATTTCAATTTTTTTTAAAATATAATAATCCCGAAAGATATGTAACATCCTTGACATAGATACACACATTGATATACAACTTATTACATATAAGTAGAAATTTAATGTTCATTGCAATTTTCAAATATCACAGAGAATCCCCTGAAAATTAGGTCTGATACAGTATGAGCTGAACATAATTAGAAATTATTTTAAATTACAAGAAACTAGGGCTTTGGAAAAAAAAAATATATTTTTCGTTAATTTTTATAAAATAAACGTTTGAACACACGTTATTCAGTTTTAGTCAGATAGGGTCTATGTCAAGGACGTACTTAGTTCAAGGCCCCCCACACGTCAGTAGAACAGAATAAATACGTATTTTTGAAACATTGTAAGCGAGTGTACTTATACTTATATATGCGAAATACATACATAAGAGGATTTGGGAATAACTGGATGAACAATAATTCAATCGGCTCAAGAGCAGAGCGATGAAAAGAATAAATTTCCTCTATTTGAAAGATTTTCTCTAATCAATGCAATGGAATATTCTATTATTAAACTATATTTTCTAAAAAATTATTTTATCTACAGAGTTTTATATAAATAAAACTTCAAATATTATCTAGAATAGCATAATGATGACTTACCCTCTCCATTGGTGCTTAGAGAACCCCTAAGCTCCAACTGACTGCTTTCGCTTGGAGCTCGGTCTGCAACGCAAGAAATAATTTATCAGACACGCTAAATATGATAGATGTCCTTGAAAACATTTTTCCTGTTTCCAAAGAAATATTTGTTCAAAACAAAAATATATCCTTTATCAATTTTATAAATAAAACTAATACACAATTTTAGTTGAAGTAGTAAAACAAACATAAATAAATAGGTACTTATGTGTTGTATTCAAGACAAATATAGTTTTCCGAAACGTCATTTTAATTTTATATTAAATTTACACCAGGACGATACACAGTTTAGCAAGCTGTTATAACATAGAATTGCACTACAAACTTGCTATTTTATCTAAGGAATCTATATTATGCACACGAGTGGATGTATTTAATTTATATATAGTTTTATTGAACAGATAAGATACCGCAATGATAAAAGATGCCAACGTAATAGATGATAATTTTAAGTGCTCTAGAGACTTCACCAAATGTCAGCTAAAAATGAGTTTTTGAAGGAATATAATTTTATTCTCTTGAACCATTACACATGTGTTGAACATACCAATGTGTTTTTTTTTTAAATATGTATATATTATAGTCAAATAGGAGTACATTTATTATTATTAATTTATGAAAATGAAATAAAATGAGTTGAAAATTTCAATTTTCTTATAAACTAGTTTAATAAGAAGTTTAAAACTTCTCCCACATAATTAAAGTGTTTCTGTTTATTATGAAAAAATATTTGTAATGGACGGAGATAAATTTTATGAATTAAACAAAAAATCAATTGGAATCACACACATACACAAAAAAAAAAAAAAAAAACAACCGGAACTTAGAAATTCTGTTGTTATAAAAGTAAAATTTGGTATAGTTATTTTAATTAATTAATTTTTTTTTGGTTTTATCAAATAAAAATTTAAGTTCATTTGATCGTTCTTTATTAAATTTAAAATAATACTTTTACAAATGTATTAAATACGTAAATGTTAATAATTTCAGAAGTGAGATTATCATAAACAATATAAAATAATCAATTATCAGTGAGAAAAAAATCTTTATATATATAATCTCTCCCCAATTAGAACTCACAAATTCTACACTTAGAGTAAAATTATAGTTATACAGCTTATTTTCAAATTGGCCTTAACATATTAACCTTCATAATTTTATCATTTCTTTTACCTCAGTAATGTTTTCAGGCATCGATTATTCTTTTCAAATTAAATTTAAAAGAACAATTTTGATTGAATTTAATAATTTCAGAAGTATTAAAATAAGTTTGGTAGATAGAATTATATGAAGCAAATAATATGAGATTTGTAACATTATAAGAAGTTATCTACGGAGGAAATATAAAAAGGTGTGTGTTTACATAAATATTTAAACAGCATTCTCTGAAAGCAGAAATTTAAGCGCCCAACACAAACATAAACATTCAGAGAATTTAATATGACATGGTAATAACAACTCGGCTATCAATGCCTACGTGATCACTTCAAACGAAATCCAACAGAGGGCCCATTGTAGACATTTAATGGGGAATGAGGCAAAGATCGAGAGAGATTGTGACCATTGTGGGAGACTACAATAGCAGGGCTACTACCTGGAGTCCCACAGGGATCCCTCTTGTGTCTTTATTATTTATTATTTCTGCTCCTAGTTCTAATATGACAAGTTGCCCCCTTTCCTCCCATTCAAGGACTGCCTGCTCAATGGGGCCTCTGTCCGCCTATCGTGTCCTACGTAATGATCTTAATAAAACTGGAGGACACATAGGATACCACAGCCAGCAAAGATAAATAAATATATGTATACACATGTTGGACATAATAGATATTCAGGTGTGAAAAGTTGGTAACCCATCCTTCAATCCAAAGCCATCATGTTCTTGACTTAGCCGCAGCCTTGCTTGCTTAGGCTTCTTAATATTCTTCAGAGCTTACTTTGGGATCTTCGTCAGCGGGGCTCGCCCGCCTTGGCCAAGAGCCACGGAGGGGGGGGGAGGAGGGATATCTCCTCTTGCCGAATTGACTAACTTCCAGTTTTTACTCTGACATCATGACTTATGTAAGAACTGGCAACACCATTAATTAATACAATGCAAACCGGATTATTAAAATATAATGATGCTGAGGAACAATGATACAAAACATATTATAACAAATAAAAGACAAGAATCTAAAATACGAATTGCATATAAAACGTAAAATGATATTATATAGAGTGTATTTATATGTAAGAATAACTTAAGAGATAAGAAATATTAATAGATTCTAAGCAAATAAGAGAACTAAAACAACAGATAACTAATAAAACCTTAAATGCATAATTATTTAATATTAAATAAAGTTGCACTAATTAAATAAAAGTAATAACAAATAAATGGAATTACCTTCAGGTTTCAGCCTCTCGCTACTAAAGCGGGAGTAGGGAGGAGGTGGTGGAGATTCTGTGAACAAAAAAAGAGAAATTCTATAATTGACCAATCCTTGATGATATTATATTAAATAAAATAACATTATAATAAATATAACATAATTCAATGGGTTCCTTAAGTAGATTTAAAAAATATATTATTAGGGATCGTCAATAATTTTTCTAATTAATTATGTGTTGCTCAACATTGCGCAACATTCAAGGAGCAATGACTTCGAAGCATCCAGGATTGGGATATTGTAACAACTTATTTTTTATACAATATAAATATATAGTTATAAGATTCTTCATCTTCAAAATGCTTTGTACGAATGACTAGCAAAATTATTATTAGACACTTGTTTTATTATTATTTTATCTTAAGGAATTTATAAAGAAAAAATAAAATTGTCAATATTCAGTAAATAAAAGTAAATATAAATTCCCTAGCTATCTTTGTTTGGAATTAAAACTGTTTACAGTGCTGTACACAGTTTACTGATAAACGAAACATAACAATGATATAAAGGAACTGTATTTAAAAAAAATCATAATATATTGATACAGTAGGTGGTTTGGACATTAATAGGATGTCTGCAGAAAAATTTCCAAAAATAAATATGCAACTGTGGAAGTAGAAGGAAAAAAGAAAGACTGAAAGCAAGCAAGCCATAGATCGAGAACTATGGAAAAATATTCTAAATGACATTCAGGTCAAGCAAAACCACAATAGTGATAAATTCTTTAAAAAATAAAAATATATTGATGATTGACAACACTACTTAAATCACAGGAACTGTAACTCACTTTATTTTGTTGGTTTTATACATTACACATAGTTTTCAGTAATAAGGTTGACGACTCTAAATTTTAGATATAATTTTAGACAAAAATTTTTGCTGATGATAATAAATGAATAAAGATCATAAATGAAGTTTCTGTGATTTAAGTAGTGTTGTCAATTATCAATATATTTTTTTTCAAGGAATTTTTCACTATTGTAGTTTAGGCTAAATTAGGATTAAAATATTTGTTTTCAAGGTTGATCAATAATTTGGAATCTGTTATTACAGTTTCATTAAAAACAATTATCCAATTCGTCTTTCTGGGTAATAATTTTAATTTTTATTAGTTTGATGAGATTGTGCAACCAGCAGACTTTTAGTACAAAAATATACATATATATAAATCAAGTTAAATATTCAGTCAGAGCATTTGAAGAAAGGTTGTAATAAATCTTAGTCTTACCGTCAAATAACAGTAAAACGGCAGCAATTAACGTATTTACTAAAGATTGAATTTCATTTCCCAAACACTTACACGGTTGTAAAGCTCTAAAGATCTAAAACCCAATAGTCTTTCTCTCTGAGGCAGGTGTTGGCATCAGAAAGAAATGGGAGATGTGCCATACTTTCAGAGAATTCTCGTCCTATCGCTCGACCGCCTACGTTGTCTTAAACTGGTCTGCTAAAACTATAGGACTCTCGGAACTATAAGCTCTATTCAAAAAACTAAATAATCTTCAAAAACTAAATTAAATGCGATATGGTATATTCGGAAACCTAAGTACGCTTATAGTAGAAGTATGTAAGTGAAAATTATATCTAAAATTAATAGATGCAGAGATTATTGCAACCACAAGATTCATAATAAGCAGAGATTCGAAAGCTGAGATAGGATTCAAGCTCATGACCAGATTCAAAGACTGAGAAATAAAGTAAGGTTCATAGCATAACAGGTTACGTTTTAGCTACTCCAAACCATAGGCGTAGGCTTTTCATTCTGGTTGGAGGGGGGGGGGGAAGATGGACCCTAACCAAAAAAAGTCACGGGAGTTTATATGACGTAATAAAATTATGAGTATAAATCAATCAATCAATCAATCTTTATTTGTTTTAAGAGAAGAACCCTATACAAATGAAGTCCATAATAAGATAACAAACATTATTATCCTTATGAAAATACAAATTCCTTTTTATACTACTTCTAACAGACATAACAACATCTTAAGCATAAATTAAAAATTATATTCGGTACAGGCCAGGCAGTTAAAATAGTTCCAATTATCAAATTAATATAAAACCTAAAATTGTCAACAACATACACATATAAATACACATAAAACAATAAATAAACATTTAAAAAAAATATTAATATTAAACTATGCTTTAAAATTAAATTAAAAGATCACCTCTACACCTAAGAGAACAGACAAGAAAAATACCCGTCCAGATTACATGCCGATACAATAAGGAATTTTTTGCCATATTATGCGGAGGACAATATTCACGAATACCCTACCAATTCTCTATAATTTGATATATTTGAGATAGAAAAATATAATTTTCTAATATCTTCTGCACTGGTTGAATTAAATATTTCTATCCCATCAAGATTTTCCATACCCTGATAAATTCTTTCACTTAAAGTACTATATATTGGGCATTTAAATAATATATGATGAAGTGTTTCCTTTTCTTTAGTGTTGCACGTTTTGCAATCAAGTTTTGGAGTAATTTTCACAATTTTATTATCAACAGAAATCTTGATCATATATTTAAAATTAGTCGGTAACAACAAATACTAGGGAATCTGATCATATGAGCATATATATTAACATAATCATAGTAAAACGAACAATAAAATACAATGTTTTTAAATTAGATTTTTTTTTTTTTTTTTTTTTTTACGGACGGATACATTTGAATATATATAAACAAATCTATTGAAAATATTATCTATGTTTATTTAAAAGGTTTGAGATAGTGAAATAAATTCTTGATCCTTCGATGCTTCAAATTTGCCGTGGGAAATGTGATAAAATCTTCATCTAAAAACGGAAGGGTGCACATGAATGAAACATAAAATCCTAGGATATGTTGCTACATATAATTATCTCTGAATATAAACTAAAGTTTCAATATCACTAACATAGGGCGTGGTAAAATACTTGCGTACCTACTTCTAGATATTTACCTATGCACGGGCTCTCAGACGATTAGCTTAGCCAAATCTAGTCGAAATTTCTTAATTTATTTTGGTATACATATTTTATTCATTCATGTGGATTAATTATTATTAGGTTTTTATTTAATTTATGCTCTTCGAAACATTGAGGAGGGGTCTAAACTATATTTTCGCCAACAAACTATTTTTATTAGAGGAAGAGGGCGACGCCATCCCCCTCGTTCTCTCCCGAAGTCCGCGCCTATGCTCCAATGAAGTTATTAGTTAACATAATATCCCAGAAAAGAACTGTGAAGGACTGTTTTCCAGTCCCTTCTGAATTATGCTAATGTGGTTATGTTTGGAACAATGTCACACTGCGACGTCTAGTTAACCATTAATAATCATAGTAATATGACGTGGTTGATAAAGGTCCCGAAGACGGATATGAAGACATACTCTTCCTCCCCGATCTACGAAAGACAAATGGTCGCAGCGTCGGCGTTCCTATTATACCCGGCTAATGGGTGTCAACACTTACCATTCGTTCAAAGGGTTTTCCGGAAATCGATCCAGGAAATGCCATGCATACAATACGGGTATATACATCGCGCATTTTTTACACAGGCTTCCGTTCGGTACAACGAAAAAGGAGGGCAGAAAAACATCCTTTTTTTCGGGGCTGTACCAACATCCGTTACATTTGCCTTGCCTATTGTTCAAATGGTAATAGTAATTCAATATTCTGAACCTTACCTCTTCCGAATTGAAAAATAATCAGTAAATCAGACAAATTTATCCTCAATAGAATGCACACGCTATGTTTTGTGATAAATTTAAATTCATAAAGCTATAATATTGGCTTTCAATTGATCATACTCCAAATAATGATAAGAAGGAATAAATCTAATTTCATCCTTCACTGCCTTAGACCATGTAACGTCTATGAAGATGCTTCTTCATTAACAACCTTCTCGTTAGTCAAATATTATTTATAATGATCCATATGTATTCTAAACATACATATCTTTAAACGGAATATCACAAATATTGTTTTTTTTTTTAGTGCATGATATGACTGAAGACAGAAAAATCGTACATAATAATTCTAATCAGAACTTAACAAAAAAAAAAAAAAAAACTGTAAACATATCAACGATAAAAAAAAAAAAAAAATTAGAAACACAAGAGGTTTAGGTCGTTCTTCTTTAGTTTAGTTAAACTCAATTTGTTGATGAAAAAATATAAATTTCGTCCTTAATTAATACGTAAAAGTTCAAAGTAGTGATCATGAAGTAAAATGGTGAATATTCTTAATTTGGAATGAAAATATTTATTTATAGTGCTTTACTTTCTCAATTATCTTTTTTACATTCACAATCATTGAAATCAAATAAAAAATTGTTTTATTTTTTTAATATACCATTTCAGTACTTTAGGGAGATTTATTTTGATACTTTTTGGGTCAAAATTAAACCTTAGATTTTTAGTTGAATATTAACAAATAAAAATAATGAATGGTGATCAAGATATCGAATTTAAAGGCTTAGTTCACGATATTCTTACGTTTTACACTACCTATTAGAGTAAGCACTAAATAGCTTAAAAGTTTTACCACATTTAAAAGCTGTGGATAGATATAAAAGGGTGCTAAAGATTATTTAACTTGTTTAACGCTTAATAATAAGCTCTAAGTTACTTGATTACATTATCATACTTCACTCAACTTAATTGAGAAATCAAACAACCCATATCATTAAACATAGTGATAGAATATACAATTATAACTGTTTTAATGATTAAGAAAATCTTTCTACTCGGTATAATTTAATGGAAAATATTTCAAAAATCCTAAAGTGCTGTTACATAAAATATGTATTTGCATATCTGGAGTGGTTTTATAATCGATAGGAGATAAATGACAGAAATTACTCGCAATTAAACAAAAAAAAGTGTACTTGAGAAATTGATACCTATTCATAGAATTTGTAATAAGCTGCTACAAGGAAAGGAGGCGGGACGGTAGTAAAATAACGCAGTTGTAACATAGTGTGAGGAAAATTCTAGAAAATACTGATTCACAACACT